CTGCCTCTGCCTCCCGAGTGCTGGGATTAAAGGCGTGCGACACCACCGCACGGCCTGGGACTTCAGGCTTCTAACAAGCCAACTTTGCCTAATGAGCCCTGCTTGCATAAATAAACCTTAGGAGCCCACCAGAAAGCATTCCCAACTAACTTGCTTTCTCCACAGGAGACTCACAGTGAATAAAAACTTGTGAACACTACTGTCATGGAAAAACTAGTTGGTAATTATTTATGACTACACATACTCCATTCATTCACTTGGTGTTTGATTGTTGACTGATTTTTTTTTTCTTGAGATAGAGCTCCAAGATGTGTAGCCCAGGCTGGCCCCTAACTTGTGATCCTCTTGCCATCATCTCCCAAGTGCTAGGTAATAGAGGTGTGCCACTGTAGCCAGCTTCAATCACCCAGTATTGACTAAGCATCAGTCAAATGCAAACATTGTCCTCTCAGCCTGTTACTCTGACCTAGTAAGGACTGACTGGCCCTAGAGCCTAACTGTGAATTACAAAACAGAACACCTGAGCCAAGATGGCTGGCTCTGAGACAGACCAGAGGTAGAGGTAGTTCTTACACACTTTCTTAGTGAGCTAGGCACTGAGCTGGAGACCCTGTCCTTCAGATTCTCTCCAGCACCCTCCCTAAGCTCTCAGCATCTGAGCTTTGGGGACAGTTGTTCCCTCCACCTCCTCAGGCACACCACACCATACCAGACCACACCCTCTGCAGGATAAACTTCCTTCCCTGTCTGGCAGTCCCACCCCGGATATCCTTGTCAAGGCAAAGGGTCCCTGCAGTAGCACCCAAGCTGGATTCTCCAAGGGAGTGATAAACCTTAGCTAGGGAGTGCTTAGACTAGTCTCTCCTCAACAGAGTGTCCTGGGCTCCTAAGCAGAGAGCTGGGGAAGAGAATCAGAGGCACAAGGAAGCTTTAGTGCCCAGTCTTGAAGGAAATCCCCAACCTAGCTCTGAAGTAATAGGCTGCAAGCAGCTCCAGAACCCTGAAGCAAGAGGAAAGCAGGGAGTCACAGCTAGTGTGTGTGTGTGTGTGTGTGTGTGTGTGTGTGTGTGTATGCCCATGTGCATAATATATGTTCCAAGTTCCAGAAGAAAAATGAGCTGTCTCTTGTCCAAGGTCATCTGTGTATTGTCAAACACAAATCAAAACTCAGTCTGCTTGCCTTTCAGATACTCTGTCACCAAGATTCCAGAGTATTTCTGATGGTAAATGTCCCACCAAAGGCAAGAGTTGACACCCTGCAAGCACCATGATGGTATCCCACCCTCTCAGGGTGGGGAGGGGCTGCCCATTCATTCACCCCAAGAAGCAGGAAGTGGGTGGGTTGGCTCTGACTTTACTCAATTGCTTACAGTCTAGACGTCTACCTTGAAGGATCACATCAGTACAGGACCAGAAGCATGCAGAATATCCCAGGCCTGTGCCACTGGATGAAAACACGTGCCTGATAACAGCTTGTTAGGTGACACTGCCTAACATGTGCTCACTCTCTGGAGCCCTCTCTGCTCCCAGCTTTCAAGGAACATTCACTCTTGGTTCTATGAGATCTCAGTATCCAGTCCTCACCTAGCACCAAGACTTGGGCAGAGAGGTGCATGAGTCTGCTTCCATCTGGTTCTTTCAGGAAAAAGAAAACCCGTGTAACTGTGCTCTATGGCCACCAAGCCAGATGTTGCTCCCTCCCGCTAGCGGGCACTTTCTCCCAGGAAAAGCGAGTGAGGGAAGGGGTGGCACGGATGTCCTCATCCCTCAGCCTTACAATGACTGTCAGTGGTCCACAGAATCGCCGTTTGTTCTGCGGGACCTGCAGGCGGTGGGGGGAGCCGGGTCACCCTGGGTCTAGGGCACGCGAAAGCCAGCTGCCCTGGAAGTTCCGTAATGGGAATAGACACAGCGTTTTCTGGAAAGGGAAGCACTGCCAGGCTAACTAAGGCCACATCTCACCACCTTCCTCCTGGGGTCACTTGTCCTACAAACTTTTCTTGCAAGCGACAGGGCTGCTGCAAGACGCGAAACACCAATAGGCGCAGGGTGCGTCCCAGGCTCTCGGCTGGCAGGCAGCTGCGGGGACCGAGGCGGGCGACGCGGGGGCGCACTCACCTGGCAGCTGCTGGGAGGCGCACGGGCGACTGCACTCCGGGAAGCCGTGACTGGCTGCGCCCGAGTGCGCGCCGTTTTGTTTCCCCACTCCGGAAGGCGTTTCCCGCGCCACGCCAACCAGTAGGCTTTGCACACTGCACCACAACAGGGCTGATGTCACAGCGCCAAGCCCCGGGAAGCTGTCCCCTCCCCCAGAGCCGGGAGCCAGGGCGTGGCCCGAGCCCTAGCTGCGGCTTCTCTGTGCACCCTGCGGCGGTCTCTGGGGAAAGGTTTTACTTGGGGGCGGGGAGCAGGGTTTAGGGGTTCCTGATCTGCCACCTGGGAAAGTGGAGAGGTAACCTGAGAGATCAGACCAGAAATAAACTTGGGCCCCCTAGGAAAGAGAGAGAGAGGGTCTTTAAGTTTTCGTGTCCTGATGGCTCGCCAGAGTAAGACAAGCTAGCGTGGCCCTGCTTCTTCCAGTGACTGACTTCTGCCTGACAGCTGGCTTCAGGTTCATTTGTAAAAGGAGAATGTGGTGGGGGATAAGACTAGGGGCTTTTTGCTGCGCCGCCCACCTCTAGTTCCAGGCTCTTGTTCGTTCGGCTTTCCCCATCTCTCCTACGCACGAGAGATCATGCCCCAGAAGCATCAGCTCCTGAGTGGACCTTTCTCTGGGCTCCTAACATACAGTAGTATGGCAGACACAGGTTCAGGCCGCCTGATGCTGCCTCTGGGGTGGTGACCAAATAGGTGTTACCGGTCCAACTGCTTCCACTCCGCAGAGTGCCTGTCCGGAAACCCAATGCTGGAGGTGGGCTGCGGCTCGTGGGCCTAGTGCTTGGCAGGAAGCAGAGTAAAAGTCTTAAAAGGAAGGTCCGTTTTCCTTAGTGGTACAAACGGCTCCAAGCAAGAAGCATGATACTTTCCTTGGGACTAACTACATGTAGGATCTGCAAGAAAAACTGTGTTCCCGGTAACAGAAGAGAGTGGGGGTGGCTGGGGGGAATAGTGCCTCAAGGAAAACTGTTCTGTTTTGTAGGGTGATTATTATTATTTGTTGTGTTTTTCAAATAGTTTTGTTTTGTTTGAGATAGAGTCTCACTGTATAACCCTGGCTGGCCTGGAATTCACTATGTAGACCAGAGTGGCCTTGAACTCACAGAGATTCTCCTGCCTCTACTTCCTAAGTGCTAGGATCAAAGGACCAGTTGTTATTTCTAATACCAAAGGGACTTGAGGACTGGCGTTGCAGGTGAATTACATTATTCTCATCAAGTGCAGATTTCAGTGTGACTTGACATGCTTTATGGGTATGCCTGTTTGGACCTTTCTGCTACCTCCACCATTTACAGTAGTCTCAGAGGAAATGCCTATTGTGTTAATTGGGGGCAGTCACATTTGTTAGCAGCTGCCCTCTGCCATCCCATCTCATCTGTAGGTACGGCTTGCCTTATCTTTTATCCTATATCTCCAGAACTTAGGCCCTGGTGGGCTTCATTCAAAGCCCTGAGGTTTGGTTCTGTGGCATTAGATTTGTAACCCCAGCTCTTCGGGAAGCTGACACAAGAAGAACACAAGCTCAAGACCTGCCTGAGCTACAAAGTTGTTAAAAGGCCAGCCTGAGTCACGTCACGTGGCCTTGTCTCAAAATAAAAAGTAGGGCCAGTGAGATGGCTCAGCCAGTAAAGAGGCTTGCTGCCTGAGTTTTGATGCCCAAAACCCACAGTAGAAGGAAAGAACTAACTCCCTAACGTTGTCCTCTGACTTTCACTCACACCCCATGACTCAGGAAGGCCTACCTACTCCCTAGCCCCAAACACCACACACACACACACACACACACACACACACAATAACAGAAGTAATAATAATAAGGTTAGATTTCAAAGTAAAGAGAGGGCTGAGGATGTAAATCAGTGGTAGAACACATGTGCAATATTTCATTCCCCGGTGTTATAAATAGGCCTCTCCTGAAGAATCACCTCCATCAGATCAGCCTGTGAGCATGTCGGTTTTCTTGATTGCTAACTGTAGATTGATTAGGAAGGCATGGCCCACTGAGGGCAGTCAGGCTGCATAAAAAAGATAGCTGAGTCAGGTATGGTGGCTACTAGTTTGGTGGCACACACCTTCAATCCTAGCACTTGGGAGGTAGAGGCAGGCAGGTCTCTGAGTTTGAGGCCAGCCTGGTCTACAGAGAAAGTTCTAAGACAGCCAGGGCTACACAGAGAAACCCTGTCTTGAAAAACTAAAATCAATCAATCAATAAATGAATACATACATAAATATAATAATAATAGAGCTAGCTGAGCATGAGCCCAAAAAGGAGCCAGTAGGCAGCATTTTTGTGTGGTTTTTGCTTGAGTTCCTGCCCAGACTTCCCTCCATGATAGAATGTTCCCTGGAAGTGTAAGCTAAATAAACCTTTTCCTCCTCAAGTTGCTTTTGATCATGGTGTTTATCATAGCAACGACAATAACAATAAAAACCCAGACTAGGACGCTTTCCAAAACTGTTTCTTGCAGAAAATATTACCATCCCTATCTGACATAGTCAAGACTGAGAGGAGAAACCAAGGGACTTCTTGGTCTTTCTTATACCGAACAGGTATATTAAACTGAAAAATTACAGTCAGTGTTAGAACATGGGCTCATCGCCCAGAGATGTCACACCGACGGCTGGGGTTCCCCTGAAGCATCAGTACTCAATATCCGGGAGAGAGGAGCCTTGGACTTTTGCCCAAGACTACAAAAGAGCAAAGGCTTGCATTTCCTTCTTTGGTCTGGGTTTGTCCTCTGTGGCTCTGTTGACAGATCTCCCTGTGGGGGCGTACCAATCTGTTCTCTGAAATGTTCTTAGGATGAGCCAGGGAAAGGAAAACAGAAATGTCTGTGGTACTTGTGTTTCTCAGCATCTGAAAGCACTGTGTCAAAGGAATGATGTTCAGTGTGTCATCCAAACTCACACAGGTATGGGCACCCTGCTCATCCACGCAAAGGCTGTGTCATCTTACACAACTTAGGAGCATAGGCAGAGTTGGATGGGGTAAGGGAAGCCAAACAGGCCCATCTTTCTCTGGTGCTTTCCTCAGAAACTCATACATTTGGTTATATTGACCTCCGTGCATACTGCTGACCACATGGGCTTGGTCTTGAGCCCATTAGTGATAGAGAATGCCTTGAGAGTGAGTGGAGTCAAACATAATGTTGGCCCACAAACCCTGCAAACAAGTGTGAGCTTCATGATGAAAGCAGAGAATCCAGAAATCACTGCCCATACTTGGGCTGGTACCCATGCCTAAATTTCCTTAGGGCAGAAGTACTGGTCCTATATAACTGGGCCCAGACCAGCTCCATCCAGCTAACAGTGCCTACCACTAAAGATGGCATGATCAGAGATGATAGCTGGGATGGTCTCAGCTGGGGGCTCCAAAGGAGGCATGCCATATACAAGTGAGGGCAGGGAGATGATGAACTCAGTTTCAGTGGACGTAAGTGCCCGAGGCTGTCTAATGGGCAGTTGTACACAGAGCCAAAGAGGGACGGGGTTGAAGATAGAGATTTGGGGCTTTCAGTCTAGAGAGAGTTTGGGAAATGAACAAGCCCAGAACTCCAACAGACACTGCTGTTTGAGAGTGACAGAGAGCCCCCAAAGAAAACTAAGGAGAAAGCAAAGACTGAGGACTAACACAAATGACATGGAAGTCAAGGGAAGGTTTCAGGGAGGAGGGAACAGTGACATCCGTGAAGTCCTTGTCTTTGTGATGTGTTAAAGGAGACCTGTGAAGCATTGAGAGAACAGGGGAAGAAAACCAATGGCAAGATCAAGGACGGTAATGTCTGCTCTGGCATGGTAGCACATGACTTTAATTTCAGCACTCAGGAGGCAGGGGCAGGCAGATCTCTGAGTTCTAGGCCAGCCTGGTCTACACAGTCAGTTCGCCAAAGGGTTAAGTTCACCTTAAACATCCCTTAAACAAGTGTATTCATTCTTTCACCACTGAGCCACTTAGGATTTCTTCACCATTCCCAGAGACTCCCAAATATGCGACTCATCCAGTTTGAGGATTCTGTAGCATTGAAGACACAAATCTGGGGGCATGATGGTTCTGGAAGCAAAGCCCTACTGCTCGGTTTGGAATGTATCCCACCAGATATGTGTGCATCACTTTTCATGCTTCTTGGCGGTCAATGGAGTCACTTAGAGTTGAATTGGACCCCAAAGAAAAGAAAAGCTCCCAAGAACACTCAGAGCCACAGTGCTTTGGAAGATCCAATTTTAGGGCTGGGAATGTAGCTCCATTGGTAGAGTGCCTGCTTCATACACAGGACTCCCTGAGTTCAGTCCTTGGCATTGCATAAAACCAGACATGTTAGCACATGCCTATGATCTAAGCATTCAGGAGTTGGAAGCAGGAATGTTATATTTCTAAGGCAGCTTAAAGAAACAGGAGGCAGGAAAGAGACTACTGTGACCTCATCAGTTTGACCTCACCAGTATGACCTCATCAGTTTGACCTTAGCAGTGTGACCTCAGCAGATGGGACTGTTTATTTTAAACATCTAGGGCAGACACAGTGGGAAAGGCATATCTGCCAAATCGGGAGGGGATACCTGAAGTTTATACAGAGTGTTTGGAGAATGGGAAGTTAACACAGCTTCAGAGACCTATGTACCAGTCCCTAGGTTCTTCCTCCTGGGGTTGTTTGTCCCGACAAGGCCATTTTATCTTTAGAAACTGCCTTGCTCTGGATACTAGGTTGCGGGTGATAGTGGGTGAATGAGTTTGGCAATGGGCAGTGAGGGGGAAAGGGCTGGATTTCAACATCAGATCTTGGTCAGGGTGTGGCAGAGTTTGTTCAAGGTTTGCTCTAACGAGGAAGATCAGAAGTTCGAGGCTATCCTTGGCTATATATCCTTGACTGTATATATAGCTCCACACACAACCAGCCTGGGCTATATGAGAGCTTCTCTCAAAAATGATAACAAACATACAAACAAACAAAAAAAAATAGAAAAAAAAAGAAAAAGAAAAAGGAAACAAGAAACAACCAAAACAAAAAAGAAAACCCTCTAACTTCAAATTGGCAGTTTGCGTGTCAGCTCTGTCATCAATCGTTAGAACCACCTCTCGAGCACTTGCTGTGGGACAGGTCTCTACACACCTGCCCCCTTTG